AATTTTAAATTCCCATGAAAAAGAAATGATAAGTGCTAACGCATAAAACGTATTTTAATCTACAGAAAATATGCGATAACTAAATGTTTCTTCCAGGGACGCCCAGAGGTAGGGCGTGTACCGGGCGCCAAAATTATATGGATGTCAGAAGACGAAGTAAGAAAAAAGTTATAAAAGTGCTACTAAAAATTAAAATTTTATTTTATGTTGTTGTTGTTCCTATTATCTATACAGTGTTTACCAATGTCAACAGGCCCAACGCAACCCTTTTTGACGCCCTGCGTCAAAACTTTGCTAGTGCCCCATCAGATCCAATAGATCTAAAAAGGGATATGATGATCGATTTCAGCGTTAAAAAAAATTAGATTTTTAATCGAACTACGCTATCATCAACTAAAACATTTTAAAAGTTTATTCCTAGATTAGAACAACTTTTGATCTTTAAAAAAATAAAACTTTTTCCGTTGTTGTGTGACCCTACTCAATCTGCGCCCGAGTAAAAAATACCCAGTGATCCCATTCTTGCGTTTTCCCTGAATGTGTATATAGACCCTATATTAAATGGCAAAAAGTTAGCTATTTTTAAGAAAAATAATCTTTCATTTTATAAAAACATAATAAAGCTACAGAAACTTCCTGATATTCAATTTATCTAAGTTGTCATCAATTTAAAAAGTTGGGAAGAATAGAGCACGAAGATGAAACTTGCTATTGTGCTATTTGCTAAACAGTACACTAAAAGTAGCTGCAAAACTAATCTTTCTTAATCCACCTACAAAAAAATTGAAAATGCTCAATTAAAAAATTCTTTTTTTGCTAAGAATGCTGACAAATAGATAGTCCTGTTATTTGTATGGTGAGGACAGTTTGTTCAGTTCGGTTCGTTCCCAACATGTTAAATTGTTAAAAAAATTTTCCATATTTTCAAATTTTCTTTTTTTACAGCTTGTTCCTCTGGATTGTTTCTTGTTTATTTCCATATAACTATTTGTTTATATATCTAAAGAACATAAACTTTATTGTTATATTGTTTAATTAATGTATTATGTGGAATGCAAGAAGCAAACTTGAACTTTGCTTTGTAACCAATAGCGGCAGAGTATTTTTTGTGGGGAAAACCTATACTCTGTCGCTATTGGTTGCAATGTAAAGTTCAAGTCGAGCTTGACTCAAGTTCGCTTTTTGTATTCCACCTAAAGTCTCTGTAATAATAATCATGCTTCAAGTTTTATATTTACAGCACAAATACAAAACTTGAAACATGAGGATACGCTTTTCTTGTTGAAGTTCTTTCAGGAAATTGTATTTTTTTAATTTTATTGTACATATAATTAATTACATATAATTTTATTGGTATCAAGGACACGGGTCTCTAAAGATTTATATGAACGTATTTGACATCACATTTACAACCATGAAATCAAAAGTAATTGGAGTCAACAAAGTGATCATACTAAGCATTATTCAAAACTGAGAAAAAAATTATCACAATCAAATAACACTTTTCCAACACCTTCAACTTAATTCGATTAAAGTTTGTCTTAGCCTCAGACCTCAAACTCATCAACATCATCTGTGTGTTATCTGTAAGTACCCTACTTTGTTATCTTGAATTAGGATGCAATTTAAATTTTAAATGAGCAAAACCAAAAAGTATTGTCTTAAATACCAGATCACGGTGGAAATTTTTCATATTTCAATTGTTTTTACCAATGATTGAAAATGGAATTTAAAGGACTTGCGGATCACTAGCAAATTCAAAAAGTACCAATTGATAGCAAACCTTATATACAAATGCAATATTAAAAAAAATGTTGTTATTCCTTGCATGCTAAATACGAAATTGACTTTAGGAAATTACCAATATAATTCCACTAGCTAAATACCATATTTAAAACTGAAACATTATGGTATCACGGATAAATTCTTCACATTATTAAAAAACTTATCATTGCTGCATTTTTGTTTTCCAATATTTTAGAAATATCATTAGAAGTTTCACAGGTTTCCATACACAAACTACTTTTATTTCTTGAGTTTGAGTTTATTTATTTCAGAAATCAATTATATAATACATTTATATATTTTGATGAGGAAGTGTTACACCAGGCACTTCCATGCTGAAAGAAGACACTCGTCTGTCCGATCATTCGTCTATAACGAATTTCAATTTATGAACACTAACCTTGAACGAGTTGACTGATTCAGCTCTTATGGTGTTTAAAGGTAGCGTATTCCAAACATTCACGATTTATATGAATCTTTATTAAGCCTTTAATTTAATTACAATAATTTTTTGTTGATGATAATTATTTTTTTCTATCTGATATAAATACTAAACTAAAGAAAGTATCTAGCTTTTTTTAAAAAAAAATTTTGCTAATTGTTAAAAAAAACAAATAGGTTACCTTTCATCCAACTTCAAAAAACTACCTTGTAAAATCTGCTAATAATTAGTTATAAATGAAAGCTTTTCATAAAAGTATTACATTGATAAATTTTTCAGTGAAAAAAAAAAGCTTGCTCCACATGGGTTTCATGTAGATTCCAATGTATCCCACACGGAATCCATGTGGTAAAAGCGTTTTCTTTTCACTGGGTTATGCAATATAACCCAGTGAAAAGTGCATATAATTATGTTTCTTTTAATAGTTTATGTTAACGTAAAGAAAAAGTCAAATATGTATTAGCTAGTGCTTCCAATACCGGTAGTACCGATACCGGTATACCGGTAGTACCGAACTTTTTCAAAAACCGAAATACCGGTATTGGTTTGGCTCAATACCGGTATTAAAAATATATGTAGAGGGCTTGAGGTATAGCAGATGGGAAAGATTTATTTTTGCAAAATACGAAATTAAATGATAGGGGAAAGTGGGGCAACATGGCGAATGGGGCAAGATGGGTTTTCGTATAACAACTCAACAAAAAATCTTAAAATTTGGTGAAAACAAAACTGTATTTGCGTCTTATATTTTAAAACACCAATTGGTTTTTTAAAATATTATTACCGCAATTTTATACGCATAAGTTTACTTTTTGCGCTTAAAAAAAAATTTCTCACTTTCGGTTTCTCATAATGGATGGTGTCCTTCAAGTTTAACTTCTTTAGAAGTAGTTTTTTACAATTTGTATATATTTTTTGTTACTTTAGTTAAATTTATCGGTAGTTTAGAAATTTTATAAAATTGGAGGTAAAAATTGCATAATAAGTCATCTTGCCCCGGTCACGTGACGAGATGGCAAATTTATGAACTTTTTATTTTAATATTTATTTCAAATTGTTAGATTTGCAAAGTGAAAATTTATGCAAGCAATGAATCATTCTAATAATATAAACATACTGAGAAAGTATTATTGCTTTACAACTGATAGTTTTGCAATAACTCAGACCTTTCAAAACATTCGCCATGTTGCCCCACTTTCCCCTATATTTAAAACTTTCAGTCGTGATAAACAACGCTCCTGGTGGGATAAAGATAGCTAAATGACAAAAAACGTGTTTACAACGTGTAAAACACGTATTACTAACTATATTACTTCTTAAAGCGTCTTTTATACATAGGTAGCGACTAGCTAGATATTCGCTGGCTATTCGCTAGCTCATTTCCCACCGGGTTTGTTCATCTTGTAATGAGAGTATAAAATCAGGCTTGCTAAAGAGTTTGGAATGGAGAAAATAATAAGTTGTTTAATTGAATTTTTATAAAAAAAATTATTGTTAAAAATATTTAGTAAAAGATAAAACTTGTTTAATTTCAAAGTAAAATTTTGTCTTCCTTCTATTATTAAAGCACTGATTTAAAATATTATCATTACATCACTTGCTTTAATGTAGCAAGTGATGTAATTTTTACATCACTTGTAAAAATTACATCACTTGCTTTTTTTTTTTTTTTTTTTTTTTTTTACATCAACTAGAGTCACCTGAAGCTGATGCCAGGCTTACACAGGGCCCCAGAAGAAGTGTTTGTTTATGTTTTTTTAAGAAGCCTAAGCTCCTTGTTTTGCCCATTTAAGGGTTTTAATTATAGCTATCTAGCCGAAACTAGTAAGCATTATTTTAAAGAATTGTTTAATGTTATTTATTCTGTTTTTAGCATAATTTTATAATTTTTATTTGATTTTAATAATTTTTATATTTTTTTTGGATATTTTTAAGTTTTATAATTTTGTTTTATTTTATTAATTTTAGGTTTATTTTATAGGTCGAAAATGGTCTAATACCATTCGTCTCGGTTATTTGTTATGTTTTTCGGCTTTTCATTTTTATTTGGTCTAGCCTCTTCCATTGCTGTTTGCCTTGCAAGTTTTTCCTCCTCATATGCTTTTCGTCTTGCTTTTTTTTCTTCTTCATAACCTTGCTGTCTTTCAATTTTTTCTTTCTCATATTCGGCTCTCCGATACCGAACGTATATTTTTAAGTCCTCTTCGGAGCAATTATTTTTATTAAAAAGGTGAAATAGGTTTTGATTGTAACACTGTATTTCGGTGTAAGTCATATTTTCAAATTCGATTGGGAGTTTAACTCCAGAAACATCAATTTCTTTTCGTTCATGTTCTGATCTTGTGATAGGTTTGTTTTCTACGCTACAGTTTTGAGTCATTTGTTCATTTTGTATTACTTTAGCTGGTTTATTTATTATTTGCTCCATTTCCACTTTATTGTTAGTTTCTGGTGAGGGGATTTCAAAATTGTTTGTTATATTTGTTATAATTGGCGTTAGTTTTAATTTTTTGCTACTTGTTGGTGGAAAATCTTCTTCTATTTCATCTAGACTGTCTTCTTTTCTAAAAACGTCTTTCTCACTCTCTTTTTCAATTTCATTACTTTCATCTATATTCTTTACTATACTGACAATCTCATCATCATCGCCTTCACTTTCTATATCATCGTCTTCTTCATTTTCTTTTGGTTTACTTTTGTCACTTGCACTATCATCGCTATATTCCTCACTGCTACTTTCATCATAATTCTCTTCGCTTTCTCCAGCCTCCTT